AAAGAGTATCCACCTTTGTGTGTGAATATCTCGAAAACCTATCACTTTATAAGTTTCTAACAAGATTACATGATTTATGTAAAAAATATCAAAAAATTTAAAATTTCAGTCTTAAGTTTTTGGATAGTGGGCGTAAAGGGATGAAGATGGTACCCATGGTACCACTGGAAAAGTTTATTTTTATGATAATTTTTTGATGATAGGCATATCTTATTGCACAAAAAACTTTTGCCTAATAAAAAAATTATAGCCATTAATAATTTTTGAATTTTCAATTTTAACAACATGTATTTCGGAAACGAGTAACATTTTACCCAAGCATGTTTCGTTTATCAGAGAATCTTCAGTTATGCTATGTCCCATTCTTAATGATACACTCTGTATATGGCCAATTTACCACCGTTCGATATAAAACACAGCTTTTATTTTATAATCTGGAATAAGCTATGGTCTCACCACAGCTTATACGTCTCACCATATTTCTGCATTAACTTTAAAAGATCCTGACAATCCTGATCAATATCTGCGTTCATTCTAGTACTATTCCGTCTATGGAAGAGCACTCTCTAAAGTAGGTATGTCCATTTTTAAAAATGACAATCGAACTGACGTTAAGAACTACGACCTATTTCTATTATTTACAATTTGTTTAAAGTAGACATATTATTGGAACGTAGTATTTATCAACATGTAAGTACTACATTATCCACTTAACAACATGGATTCGTGAAAGGTCGATCAACGGTTGCGAATTTTTCAATCATTACTATGCATGTAGTAGAAAATATTGATAACAGTATTCAAACTCTCATTTATACAGATGTGACTAAGACATTTGACAGACTTGACCATGGTATTTTAGTGAAAAACTCTCTGCGTTTGGACTCTCGGATAGTCTTATTGACTTAATTAAATCATATTTGTGTAACCGTCTACAATAGTTCAGCTCAATGTATTCAAGTCTGTTAAGTATACTGCAACATCGGGTGTCCCTCAAGGATCGAATCTTAATCCACTCTTGTTTAATATGTTCATAAATGACATTGGTAATGTAATTAATGTTATACTGATGACCTCAAAATGTATGCTTCCATAAATAGTATGATTGATTGTGAGCGACTTTCTGAAAATCTGAAACAAGTTTGTAAATGGTGTCGTAGAAATTACTTAAAATTGAACTCATCCAAGTACAATATAATGTCGTACTATTTAAAAGCGGATTCAGCTTTCTACCGAACCTCCCTTAAACAGGCCAGAAAACATGTAGGTTTATAGGAGACATATTTGATTCTGCACTTTCTTTTACTGACCCTGTTGATAGTTATGCATCATCACTCTTATTGTACATATGGATTCATAATCAGAAATAGACGTGATTATAAGAAAATAGATACCATAAAATGTCTGTATTATGCTTTTATCCAATCCAAGCTTGAATACGCGTCTGTTATATGGAGCCCATTGTATCAAATGCACTTTGGTCGATTGGAAGGAATTCAGAGACGATTTTTAAAATACTTATATATTAGACGTGATCTAGTTTATCCGCTTATTGGTACCTCGCATGACGCTTTATTAAATAAACATGGATTTTGAAAATATTTTTCTGTAGTTACTCTGTATAACGTGGTCATAAGCAATCAAATAAACTGCGAATAACTACCACATGTTTAATTTAAAAGTTCCACGTCAAGCCTCAAGATACACTGACTCATTTACTTACCAACACCTCTTATTTATATTCTAAAGAATAAGGAACTCACCTTTGCATAATAATATGTGTAATAATAATTCTAATCGGATAAGTCAGGAATTTGATATATTTCACATTAGTATTCAGCATATCAAAACGATTTTTTTAAGATAACCATCATTTCTACTGTATTTCCTGTAACATTTCTCATTTTTGGTGTATTTCATCCAAATATGTTGATCATATTTTCCTATTCTGTAATAAGGTATAATTTGTAGAATAATGTATTTAATTCTCCATCAGCACAGAATGTGTATGTAATACAAAATCGAATTGTGACAATAAAACGAAAAAAAAAAAAAAAAATGCAGACCTAGTTATGGTTTCAAAATTTCATCTCTATATTACTCTCGAAATGCACCTCTAATACATGTTTTGTTAAAAAAAAAAAATAAATAATAGTGAAATGTCCTACAAAGAAAATAAATCTAAGACTGATGGTATTTAGTAGTCTGCCTGTCTTTCGCAGCTGATTCTGGTTATCTGCATAATTAAAATAAAACTCGATGACCCAAAGTCTAAGTCTTGAAACTACTGACCTTCTTCAGTTGGATTTCCCACCTTAGTATCTTGTTTATAGTACCCGTCTGTTCCGTTTTCTCTTCAAATCCCACTTCGTTTTTTTTACTCTCGCTTTTTCCATCCTCAAATACGATATGTATCAACTCTGGGATATATATTGGATACCTTTACAACAGCTAGTGCAAAACACCTGGACTTTATATCTGGATGATCTTGAAAAAACCAGTTAGTTATGATAGAAGATTTAATTTGCACATGCAGTACGAGACTTACGACCATAAACCAGGATTCTTGAAAGGTTTAAGGTAGGACTTTTCCTTATAAAGCCATACATTCCTGGATCACCCGGATTAGTTCTTGAATCTACATTAAAGTAAACCTCGACCAGTTGTTTATGCAAAACTGGTAAATTGTAAACATGATTTTTGAGTAATCACTACTATTTTTATCGGTTTTGTAAAGGTTTCACACACCGTTTACCCTTTTTGTTTATATATTCTATAGTTTTGATGATATATAATTTATTTTACATCATATATACAGTACGTTAACCAACGCATTACGCAAAATAAATATGAGACGCTTAATTATATTGTAATGTGAGAGGAATAAAGAGATTAACTTAGTTTAATTGCGCAATTTCCATGGCAAGGAGGGGATATTGCGGCCTGTAGTCGCCGATGTATTATTCTATTTCTCTCTATTTAACAAAGAAGTTTTTTTAGGCGACTAGTCCCACAAACGTGGAATTTTTGAGCTTGTGCTCTTGTGTGTCTCCCGTTATTGCGTGTGTTCTTTACTGCGTTCCCGAGTGTTTGAATGTGAGATTCGTTACAAGATTCTAACAAAAGTCTATCAATTTCATGTTATTAATATAAACCCATTAACTTTTAAAAACTTTAGTAGGAATTCGTTATTTCACACTCCAGTTATGATTGTTTTTCTATACTGTTCTCCTGGAGTCGGTATTGTAAAGTATATTATAATTTCTTGTAAACCAAGAAAACGTACTTAAGGGGCAACTATCATTATAATGATTTATTAAAACTAATTTATTTGTAGGAATACTTTTAAGTTTTTACCCAAATTAAATCACAGTTACCATGTTAAGGTTACAGCAGGTGTCATGTACATTCTATAAACCCGATCTGAAATTATAACGGTAAATAATGTAACAACCATCTATACTAGAGACCAGTTGTAACTACTGATAGGTCTTTAGCTACTGTTGTTAATATACTATTAAGGGATTGAGGCAGCACTGTCACTAGCCAAAGGGTCCTGGAGTCCAGAAGGAACCTCCATTCACCAGTGGCAAATAAAAATAATAAAAAAAATTAAAATTAAAACAACAAAAATTATCCCTTAATAGCATAGTCGAGCGTTTCTTGGCAAATAGTTTTAGACTCTTTTAGTCCTAAGGGAAATAGAAACGCCGAGGCTTCTCAAATGCTCGGAATATTTTACTGCTTTGGAAAAGGGGAGAGATTAATAATAAGTATTAAAACATTAACAAATGTATATTTATTGACAATAAGTACAAAATTTGACTCTTAAGAAAGAATGAATAAAGTTACATTTAGGGAATAAAGCACTACTTGTTAATATATCCAAACTTTAAATAAAGAATTATGACACTCTAGATAAACATTTCATTGAACTATACAGTTTGGACTTATTAACAACTATAAATAGCACTGCAAAACTTTAACTACATAATAATATAAAAATATGTATAAAATAAATATGATAATCGGGACGAAAATGTAAAATGGGCATTTATATTTAAATAAATTAATTACTATCAAACAAAACACTTTAAAAATAAGTTAGATATTCACCCATAATTCACAAATCGCTGCACACAAACTTTTAAACATTACTTTGTTTTGGGACTTAAAGAGTCCCAAAAAACGAGAGCTTTCGCCATCGGCGAAAGTTCTGGACTTTAGTCCGCACTCTAGAATCCTCTCTTTCTGTCTCCTCTCTATATAAACCAAAATTTATGTGATGGTTGTATTTTTAAAAATGTCACGCTCAATATAGCCATTGACTAGAATAATAACCTGATTGTTTGTTTTATTTTCATACGTGTGTTCCTTTTTAATTTCTAATTTAAAACATTAAAATACTTTTTTAGAATTTTTGGTAAATTCTTTATATTTTCCAATAATAATGCCAATTATTACAATAATACGACTTAGTTTTTTATTTTAGTATAACCCAATCCTTCTTTGTTTTAGCTTTCTGCTTTTAGTAAATTTAAATAATACATTTAATAAAATATTAGCAAATTTAATAAATTGAAATACGTATGCATTTCTTTGATGCGACGGCGAAATACCGATAATCGATGGGACGCCTCGATGTTACGGCGTTACGCTGTGCCTTCCAGGCTTGTTGCGCAAGGCTGTTACGATACGAAGTTCTATAAAGGTGCGTACAGACATATATCAAAACTTCGAATCGTAACACCGACGCGCAACATCAGCCCGTATTATTTCTTAGATGCGGCGTTAAAATACCGACAAGCGATGGGACGCCTCGATGTTACTATGTTACGGTGTTACGCAGTGCCGTCCAGACTTGTTACGCGACGTTACGATACGAAGTTTTGCTATATGTCTGTACGCACCTTTAAATGTCTGTACGCCACTTTTATATGCTTTACAAATGGTTTATTGTGATAACAAAACGTATTACGCTTTATTTATTTATTTTGCAGTTATCTCCAGCATACGGTGGTAGTTCAGCGTCGAGCCCGGGCTACAGCGAGGGCCGATCGAATTGGCAAAGCGGGCCCTCGGGTCCAGGCGGGCACGGTCCTGGCCCGGGTCCAGGACCGGGTAGCCCCGGTCAGGCGAATTCATCGGCGCCCGCCAGCCAACCCTCGCCGCAACCATCTCAACCTCCAAGCCATTCGCCTGGACCCGGGCCTGGAATGCCTCCTAGTCCGCAACATCAGTCCCATCAGGGGTTCCCTTCGAGACCGGCACCGCCCACCACCCCCAACGCACATGGTCCTGATGCGGCGGTAAGTTTTTTTATTGTTCAATGTTCACTCACGTTTTATTTTGTCTTGTTTCGCATTCTACTCGATTTCATTTTAATATCTTTTTATCGGACTTTAATTAGCGGTTTTCCTGTCTGCTCATCATTGCATTGATTGCTACGTCTGGTGGAGGCAGCGTATTTAGTTTTCTTTTGTCCAAATGTAATAATTGTTGTGTTACTTCTTGCGCAAGTAAGGTGACACTTTATCATACTGGTACGATAAATATTTAATTGCGATATTAAATTACAGTCAAAATGAATAAGTACTCTTTGAACAAAATTATACCAAATATCAAAAAAATATACTGAGTGGTTTGTTAGTTATGATAATCGAAAGGAATGAGCAAAAATAGATTATAAGACTCATTAATCTACCATTAAACTATACCCCTTTAACTATTAAACATCTTGTATACCAAAATATTTCAAGGAAGATTGTCATTCATGATACAAGCTTATAATTGATGGATATTCTGATTTGTGACGGGTACATTGAGTCCATCATAACCAACTGATATTTTCTTTTTAAAATGTTAAATAATAATTTGCATTAATATTTATACTAATGAAGGCAGGTTTATTCAATTTATTTATTTTAAATTTAGCAACAATGAACTGTTATTTGAATTACACAACCGATGATATGATATAGATGTAGGATCAATAAATTTACAAAACAATTTGTCGATGATGTTAAAGCTGAAAATCGAATAATTCGAAATGTGCAAGATGGTTCAGTAGGTAGTTTTAAAAACCGTTATTGCATTAAAATGTCTCTCACTTTTATCATCAACTAGTAGGAACTTGTGTAATAAATATTTCGAATTTAATGTTAATTTAAATTTAAGTATCTCTCCTTCTTTAGTAGCTGTAAAGCTTTGCTTCATTGTTTTGTTCTCAAGCTGATTTTACGATGTGCATGAAAAATACATCAATAATTTTAGGCCGTTCCTCTAACGAATTTTTATTGGTCGGTAATGAATTTTATAGTTGCTTTCCTAGTAGTCATAAGTTGGTACAGCAAATAACTAGAGTCGGTATAAAAGGATTTGTCGTTAATGTTAACGATTCCTCAGATACAGTTTATGTAGCAATACGTTAAGGAAGGCACGCGTTACATGATAGCTATTAATAAAAAATGTGTCACATCTTGGAATTTATTTACGCTTAAAGCTGTAGTAAACAATTCAATTAAAACATTTGTCTAAAGTTTAAGAACACTACAGAGATTCTAAGATCAGTAAGTCTAGTGACACTTCAGACATTTAAAGGTCATTAAACTCAGTTTGGGACCTATTTAAAACGCCTGAAAAAATGTATGCACTATAATTCCACTTTCTTAAATAATTCCAACGAATTCCACTACAACTCTAAAGAATTTCACGTACTTCCATGGAATTCTACTGCGATATATACGTTTTACAAAAAATAGAAGAAACGTTTTTAAATATCCGCTAGTTGGATGCCTCTTTGAACGAAATAAAAGTTTAAAACAAGCTATAAAACTAGAATGTGTGTCTAGTTTTTTATATAAGGCGGTGAATTTTAGTGATTTTGTATCTAACTTGCATCTTGCCATTCCGTAAGAAGATTCTGCTCATATGCTAACTCTGTAAGCATTCACATTCTAGTTTAGTGTTTCATAATCTATATAGGGTGTTCAATTTTTTAAAAAAACAGCCGGTGATCAAATTAGGGAAAAATAAAACAAATAAAAAACTCTAAAATACAGTAAAATAGAACTAAATATAAATCACAAAATATTGAAACTTAAATAAAGATCGTTTGATCATCAAATCTTCTAAATAAGTTTCAAGCAATTGGTTGGCATTTCGATTTAATCCATGATTTTTCGAATACATTTCTGTACCAAAAGCTTTTAGAATAATGGTTTTAAAAAGTTTTGATGCCTCGAGAAAAGGTTCTTGAAAAGAAGCTGATTTTGATTGTTAAGATCTACAGATTTAACAGCCGACTCTTTATAGTATTTTTGTAAACAGAACATCAGTTTTTTTATAACCATTGTGGAAAATAAATTTTTTTGAAAGCTATATGAAAAATCCCAAAATATCCTTAATACTGATCCATCTTAATTAAATCCGGTAAAACTTATTTCTTCTGGCTCTTCTACTTTTAAAACATTTCAACTTTCTAGAATTCAACATCTCCAAGACCACCCCTGGATACCTATCTGTAATAAAATCTGCAGACCTATACTTGTAAATTCTAAAAAGTAGTTGTAGAAAAAGTATAGTTTACTACGTGTGAGCAAAGCTTTTATCCCTAAACTACTAATTTAGTTTAAATTAGAAATATAGTTCGGTTAGTGACACGTTTTTCCTTGATCTGGAATTTCTCTTCTATTGGAATTCCGCTGACTTCCACTGGAATTTCAAGGAGGTTTGTCCTAGGGGTGGAGGAGGAAGGGGACAGATGACTGCCTTGAAAAATTAATTTGTCTGCTGTATTTGAAAACTGGAATCGACGTTTCCGTTTGAATTTGAACCAAAACAAACCTACTTTCAAATTGATTCTATCGATACCCGGTATATATTTTGTCACCATCGAGTTCAAGAAGAAGACGGTCCACCCGGTATATTTTCTTAACAAATAACAATGTACTGTTAGAGACTAAGAACTAACAATTTAGGAATATTGACACTAGAGCCGAGTTGAACTTTATATTTCCATTGAAAATAAAAAACCCACGACTATTTATGGCCCTAGTCGGAGTCTGACGTAAGCGCTATGAAATTCCGCTCCTTCCTTTCTTGTGCATTTGCATTTACATTTACAAACACACGACTGCTTTGTGAATAAATCTTAACCGTTATGCCAAATGCTTTGTTGCATCAAAAACACTTTTCCTTGTGTTGTTTCCATTCCGCAAAACATCCGTTTATCATCCATTCTCGATTTAACATTAAACATTAGCGGACTCGTTGCATAATATACAGGGGGTCATTCACGGTGCGATGGGCTCTTCTTGAATGCCGTTCATTTATTTTTATCGACAACAAAGAATTTCTTATTGAGAGCCTGCCTGGCCGGCCGTTGGTTGGTTCTGCCGGAATTGTTCCATAAATTGGAACTAATGATGTATCTTTGCTATGGTAGAAGAAGAACCTACTAATTGTTTTAAGTGTTTTTAAACTGAAAATACTTAAATATATTTTACACAGTGCCAGAATGGCAGATTAGTGTTCATGTTAATTAGATTTCTTGCTTTTAACCAACCAATTTCACACCAACCACGAACAAAATAAAATAATATCCAGAATTTTACGTTTAGCTAATAAACATCTAAATGATATTGATTTTGTGTATACAATTTTTCAACTATATGCGAATATGTAATTATTACACATTTTATTATTTTTATTTATATTTTTTTAAATATTTTTTCTTTTACTCTCTCACTTAGTTTGTAACTCGTTTTAACGTTTTTAGTTTTATATTTATTACGGAACTTTTTATACAATCATTTTTAAAAGGTGTCAAATTTAAATGCGACGAACATCTATAAATGCAAAGTCTAAATCACACTATTTTCGGTTTGGGTACATCAAAATTATTAAAATCCATTTACACAGTTGAAAGGAGCATCAAAAACTGATTTAAATAATATACTGTTAATACTTTTTAGTATTCTGCCTACATTCAATTTTTGAACTTATATTGAAGTTTTTGCGCATTTGGTGGGTTAAGAATGAAATATTTAGGATTGTTAATTAAAATAATGAAAATTATTTGATAGAAACTCATTCTGAACTTGTTAAATAAATACTACATGCATACTATTGTTAGAAGTTAAAAGAATTAACTTCAAAATTATTGTTTTTAAATGATTTAGCACCCTATATAACACCCTGTATAGCCACTTCATAAAACATGGTCGTAATCATCGCCGAAATCAATTCGTTGCTGAAAACTGTAAATGCCGAGAAAAAAAGATTATTGTATAAAATTAAGGTGGATTGTCAGTGAAATCACCGAAATCGCATAAAAACTTTTGTCATTTGTTTTGTTATGACTAGAGCCGTCGCTGGCCTTTCTCGATTGTTTCAAAATCCACGAGATGATTACGTCACCCTTTCTTTCCGCGATACAGCTAACTTTTAAGAACCACTAGATAATAACACATGATGAGTTATATGGAATCACCCCGTTTTTCTAAAAACGAAATATGAGTGTTTTATGAGAAAATATTTTTTTACAAATACTTTTTTTTAGTATATCATATAAATTTGGTTGTATGCATATTTATTATTAAATTTTAAGGAAATATCCTAACTTAATATCTAGTATACTATTTTATAAAAATAAATGTGGGTACTTAATATTGATAGTTTACTATTTTTTATATTTCGTGTTCCGTCACTGAGGTATAGAATTATTGGTTAATCCCTTAGGGTTTGCTCATTTACATTTTATGATGTATTGTATTTGAGATTTTCGGAATGGTCAAACTACAATCTAGTGATATTTCAGATGTCTCAATATTTACTTTCTTCTGCCATAAAAATTGTGATACCATGCATTTTCAAATAAACTATAGTGTTAGAGTCAGCGAATTAGGATATCGCCGCCACTGGGTCGACGATACCACGTCTGCCCGTTGCAGTGTCTGTTAGAGTCAGCGAATTAGGATATCGCCGCCACTGGGGTCGACAATACTACGTCTACCCGTTTCAGTATTCAGGACCAGGAGAGAAAGGGTGACGTAATCATCTCGTGGATTTTGAAACAATCGAGAAAGGCCAGCGACGGCTCTAGTCATAACAAAACAAATGACTTGGGCACAATGTTGCAGTATTTCAACAAACCCATTCAACAAAAATAAGTAGCGGTAAACCACTCCCGTAATACTGGTACGTTTTCACTCGAAATCACCAAAATCACTACAAATTTTCTTGAAAATTCCAAAATCATGGTCGTAATCATCGCCGAAATCAATTCGTTGCTGAAAACTGTAAATGC